CTCGAATGCCATTCCGCCTTTCGTCTTGTTCACGTCTCGCCCGCTCGTTCTCGTCTTCGCGTCCTCCCTCCTCGGTTAGCCGTAGGCTACCCCGTATTGTACATAGAGGTACGCTCTCCCGTCTACCGGTCACGACTGCTGACCCCCGTCACGCTCGCTTCCCCTCGGGACGCGTCGTCTCCTTCCCTCACCCTCCTCCCCGGTCTCAGGCCTCGCCTATCGACCGGTCTCGTCGCTTCCGACGACTCTCCCTCGCCCGGCGCGCTTTCCTGAGACGGGGACCGCCCCTCTCGGGACGCTCCGTGCGACCCCGGAGCTCGACGGGCACCACGGTGCTCCTCTCTGAGGTCCGACGACCTCACACTCCGTGCAAGCAGACTATTCGTAGTGCAGGGCCAACCTTTTTTGTCGTCGATGAGAAAGGAAAGGGGACAGGGTGAGGCGCAGGTGACGAATCGAGGTACGTTAGTACTTGAGTGACTCTCGCCGCTGGTTTGATCGGCATCGTGGATTGATTGCCCATACATATAACAGCTCAGAGGTTTCGCATTCAGAGTTCAAAGCGTCAATGACCAAGCACTCAATAGGGCAATTCAATGCCGGGGGGTGCCAGAGACCTAAGAGGGGCAGCGTTGCAAAGGCGAAGAGGGTAGTAGCAGACGATGTCCATGTCATCATGCAGCGCAGCGATTGCAGCTCAAGCGACGTACACATTACCTTACGTAAGCATGTAGCGGGCATGTTGAACTCGAACTCATGCGTTAAGTTGAAACGTTGACGTTGATCATGACTTGCGACGAGACGCGCAGCTATCATATATTCACGCGATGTCATGAACGATAACAGGTGCTCTATTCATTCTCGATGTCGAGTATATGCAGACAGCCTTTCGAGCCGACCTCCGAGTCCGATAGCCGATCAGTGACCACCTTCTGTTCGTACACTCAGTGAACTCGTCGGAAGTAGTGCATTCGTCGGCATACCTGTAGCGAGGAGGACACATCCTAAGAGCGTTTACTTGCTCTTCGGGGGCTCTGCGCAGCCACATGCGGGCCAGGTGCACGAGCCGCCGTTGGCCTGGACGTTAGCGCAGGTAGCCTTGTCCTGCCACTCTTGATCAGTTCTCCCTCCTTTGCTATTTATTTGGTTTCGATACTCACAGACATTGTGGTTTGTAGGTGGAGAAGGGACGAGTGGTGGTAAGTGGTTTGTGTAGTCGTGGACTGAGGGCTAACAGCGCATCCTGGACGTCTTTTATAGTTGATTCGACATGAGTCCATCCGAATGACATCCTACAATGTTATACTATGCAGGTAGTACAATTGGTCAGACTTATGCCCAGTAGTAGTGCGCGTGTTGGTCAGCCTGGCTGGAGCTGCACGAGGAGAACACGAGTTTGTATGTGACATGTCCGCTGTTGACTGTTGGTTCGGTGCTAATCCATTTCACGTTTAGACCAGGTCATTTCCGTTTTGGCGTGACTTCTGGCATTCTGAGTGCGTCTCGAATGGTTCTGTCAATGCAGAAAACTCAGCGACCGCTTCTCGAAGCCCAGCGGACCATCCGAGACACCGCTGGGGGGACATTCGTGCAGCGAAGCATCGTGAGACTGCCTGGACTGGTTCTCGCAGGTACTAACACAATTTTAAGGGTCTGGGGGTAGATGTGGACGTGGACATGCCGCAGCGACATACAATGTTCGTGAACACAATCAATGGATCTGGGCTATAATCGGCGGTGGAGCTTTATTGAATCAAGACGCAACTGACAGAGTAACATCGGAGGTTCGTATTATTGCGGTAACTAACTGATTGCCTCTGAAACAGACAGTAATACAGGGACAATTTCCCTCTTATGGGTGCGACCCTTAGTTCAGTTCAGGGTCGTCTTACGAATTTCATCTTATCTTGCAGCAGACCAGAACACTCCAGCAGATAGTTCCCATTTGAACGATATGTCTACACACGAAGCCCAGACAATGAGGACCCCGCGGCCTCACCGATGATGACCCCAGCTTCAATGGGCTATATACAGACTGGGCAGTGTCAGATCCATGCGTTGATTATATTCGTCGGCAGACATACCTGCTGTGACGGAGCAACATCACAAGCGACACCTACTTGCTTTTCGGTGGTTCAGAGCAGCCGCATGCGGGGTAGTTGCAGCTGCCGCCGTTGGCCTGAACATTTGCACAGGTCGCTTTCTCCTGCGACAGCCCGTCAGTATTATTGTCGCTTGTCCGCGACGAGAGTTGACTTGTACTCACAGACATTGTGGGTGTAAATGTGTAGTGTAGTCGAGGACTGAGGACTAGAGGCGGGTCACTGGCTGCTTTTATGCACCTCCGGGTCTTGTATAGTGCGGCGGTACTAGCGCAGGAATGTCTTATGCCAGTGGTAGTGCACTATACTCCGAATGCTATTGGCTTGATCTCTTCAAGCCAGCGTGCGCAAATAGCTTTCCAGTGTATGCAACCATGCGTGGCATGCAGATGCAAAGTACTGAACATCATCACCTACCGCTGCGTCAACGTTAACTAACGCCGGACATTTCATTGGTGCAGGGACTGTAACAAACATTCACACAAGACGCGGATAGCCGCACCCAGCTGGAAGACCGCATATTTTTAAGTACATACCGAACTAGAGGGTAGATGCGACACCGGAGAAGCTGTGGTAAGCCATAAGGATGTTCCCAGCACTCGACGTTCGACATTGGTATGAGTACCATTGGCGGAAGGAAATAGAGCGAGAGGATAGTTTCGCATAGGCTGTATTCCGAAGGACCCCTCGACGCCTGCTGGCCGGCGTCACACGAATTCCGGGGATGAGACTGGGCTGTCGAACGGGTCCGCCCAGAAGTCATCCCACTGGCAGGCCCATGTTTTGTCGAGTGATTTAGCGATGCTAAGAAGCGGACGCCGCCGTTCGCCTCGGCCCGTCGACTCCGGTTCCAGATGGTCACTACTACAGCGCTCTACATCCTGCAGTCAGGTAGGATTCCGTATCCACAGTCCATACCCAATACATGCCCAGTGTGTTTGAATCGGATGTGACACCTACATCACTTTACAACCGTCGCTTCTGTTTCCGTGCTGCAGCCAGATCTTCCATGCGCTTCCGCTTGTCTCTCGCGGGAGATTCTGCGTACTTTGGCGTGGCCTGAGAATTAGTCGGCGTCACCTCTGTGCCTTCCGTATGAATTGAAGAACCAGCGATAGGTTCATCCTGACCTAGCACGGGAAGTGCACTACCCATACCATGAGAGGCTGTGCGGGTTTAACAGGCGTAAGACTTACGATGCCTCACCAGGGTCAACGTTGGCGGAGGTTACTGGTCCCGGGTCCTCTGGCTCTGCACTACTCCTATGCAACTGTTAGTGAACACTGCAACAGAACGCCGAGTCGAAAAATGGGCCGGCTTACGGTTGGGACAAGGGCGACGATTCTGGAGAGAATTCCATCCTTCGTTTCCTACTGCTCGGCGCCGCGGGTGGTTCCGCCCTGGGAGGCGGAGGCGTTCTCGGGGATGGCTTACCACCGGCGTCTGCTTCTGTCTCAGGAGACGTAGCGAGCGGATTTTCGGATGTAGAATGAGCAGAGCTATATGACACCTATGTAAGTCTGACAGTCTTGACGCCTCAGTCGTGTTCGTACCTGGCATCGTCGCCCGGCGGTTCGTCATCAATGAATTCCTCTTCTCCTTCTTCCTCACTCGTGTCAGGTTGCCTTCGCAAGTCCATCTTTGCCCAGGCTTTGGCTACGTCCAGTAGGTTATCCCATTGCTGTGACGCGGTGTATTGGACGATCTCAATTTCATCACGCGGGCAGACGGCACGGCACTGTGGGCATGTTACAACTCCTTCACCGGGCGACACCTGAGAAATGCAGGTCTTGCAGAACGTGTGCTCGCATGGGAGACTGTGACCATTGCAACAGTGAGATTCCAATGTCATGCGTGGCCACGAGGGCGTACCTCACACATTTGTTCACCTCAAGAGTATCCATGCAAATTGGGCATTCTTCTTTCTCTTCAATCGAGCTGGACAAGACAATATCATGAAACCAGCGAAGCAGCTGTACTTCTGTTACATTAACCAGTCAGAGAGGCGACTAGGTGACACCTACTTTCCTCATGCGATGAGGTGAGTCCCCAACAAGGCACTCGGTATCGTCCTCAAGCTCTGCAACATCTTCTTTAACTTCACGAGCCCGAAGCTGACCAACGACATTGGCCTTCGAAGCCAAACGAGCAAACACGCCGCAGAAGAACATACCTTCGCAATTGTTTTGCGGTCCTTATGCTTTACCTAACAAGACAAGACGACGAGTCGGCATTAGGCGAAACGATAAGCACAGCCATCAGCCATATCTACTCGACGAGCACTGCCAGTGGACGCTGACGACTTCGCCTACATACCTTCTCCAAGACGCGGATCTGGGCATTCAGTCGTCTCACTTCGCCTTGTAGCTTCGACACTGTCGGTCCTCCTTTCTTGCCTCGCTTCGGCTGGATCGACACATTCTCTGCCTGTTCAAATGATTCCAACTTCTGCTCGAGCTCGCCGTTTCGCTTGCTCAGGTCCGCAAGTTTTCGCTGCAGGTTACGGACGCCATGCAGCGCCTTCGACAAATGCACCTAGACAACAATCATAACGAATCTCAATCATTGAGTCTATGCCTGCCGGCATCACGTCGACTCAGGACTGGCGGTATTCAAGCATCATGCGCACCTCTACACTAAATTCTTCATGGTCATTCGCAGCTGGTTCGCCAGCCCCCTCTGGTGCACTCTGGTAGTTCTCTACTGCAACCTCATTGGCGCGAGACCTCGTGCGCATTGGCGACCACTAAGATGAATGGCGGTGAACGTCGAACTCCCGAGACGATGTGTCCTCGAGAGGCAGGTATCCCCTGCTCGGTTGGTTAGCCCGGTCTTTCCTTTTCGGTTGCCAGATGTAACAGACGGGATTATACATGGTCTTAGGCAAAACTTCTTGGCGTTCCCATCGATTAGTGGTCAGATCATCACGTTGTGGTCTCAGTAATGTACTGTGCGAAACCGTGGAGACGGGGGCTCGAATCCCCCTGGGAACAGTTGTTTTGTTTTTCTGCCGTCCCGCCTTCCTGCGACAATGGCCACCAGCTCATCAGAATGAATGTCAGTAAAATTATGAGGAAGAACTTCACTGTACTCGCACAGTAACGATCTTCGACATACGAAGACGAATGTGGCTTATTGGTTAGCCCGAATAGATGCTACAGGCATAAAGAATAAATATGCAATGTGGTGCAAGTGGTGTACTAAACTGCAGTCTACAGTACGTCAACCAGGCCACGGCGAGGAGATGCAACTGCAACCGGTTTGCTGGTCAATTCGAAGACATTGCCCCACTCATACGCTACTAGATCACCTCCATCCTCATCTACCCACCCTTCGATATCTAACAGTTTCTCGAGGTTTGTAGACACAAGTGCCTGGGCTTTCTGTCTTGTAATACGCCCATTAGTCTCCAAAGCCGCCTGTATACACATGTCAGTTTATTTTGAGCTTCAGTGGAACCATGTCACTAACCCATGCGACGTCAAATCGTGTGTTGACAGGTTGCCATGCATCACGGCATCCAACTGCTACAGTCACGCCAGCATCTATAAGTGCTATTAACGAAGTTTGGTTCGTCAGAGGTGGTCCCGCCAGACTACGCGCATTTACTCAGCGCTGTTGGCTACAATAACGACCGGCGGGCCACGTACATCCTACGATCGTCCCATACCTGCGGGAAAGGCCTTGCGGGCTCAAGAATGACGCCGATCTTGGCTCCAGCTGGGCAAGAGTTGGTCAGGTTCACGAAACTTCAGGATGTCTGATGACTCACCAATCTCTTCGGCAATGAGATGGGCTTCTGTGGCCCCAAAGAATACCAATTTCATGAAGGAGCCTCGGGCTTGTTCGATCTCGATCTTCAATTTCAACAAGACGGCCATGATATCTGCACTCGCGACATCGATGACTAACGGAATTGCACCCTGGATAGGCTCCATCAGATTTTAGGCTGGACCCTTCGACAGTAATACTCTCACTTGAGCAACTCTCTTGAACCAGTATCCAGTCTCCGTATCATCGGGCTCGCCATTAAGGAGCAAGCGTCGGAGGACCGCTATCTGCGTACTGACGCTCACCTGTCCCACGGAAGAAGACGGAGACGTGCGACTCAGGACAACGTGCAATGCAGTGACTTGTTTGATGACGGCACCCCGCTCGAGAGCGTGCGCTGATCCTGTACGGAACGTCACGGATAGACCCGCAATGAAGGCGGGCGAAGCGAAGTAAGTGGTCTTCTCTAAGGAGGAGGTTGCATAAGTGACTCCTGCCCGATGTGCCAACCTGTGGAAGAGTGTTTAGGTTCAAATAATGGGAAGATAAGGGTATTCACTCACAATGCATTCCGCGTGCCGAATTTTAACGCGTCGGCTGTGCGGACCAAGCCGCCCTTGTCGCCGAGGATTGCAGGCGGGTCGCCGTGGAGCGGGTCGAATAACACGCCATCTCCGGTTGACGGCTCTAGCATGATCTCCTCGACGCCTAACGGCGAACCGAACGTCATAAGACTGGGTGCGATGACCCCTCCGCGCAGATCAAGTTCGATTTCTGCGTTCACTCCGCCTAGACAGTGTTTTCCAACGCAGGTGATCCTGCCACCATCTACAACGACGTCTGTAGGCTCTCCCTGCGCGAGCATGGTCTTGAGGCCATCTTCTGCGGCGAGATCCCTCACAGTCACTTCTCGGACATTCCTCATCAACACACGTCCCCTGTACTGGGTAGGGGCAAGCGGAGGTAGCCCTTCCCATTTGACTGCATCCTCCCGCTCTTTGTCCCAATTCGGCACGTTCGGCACTTCCTGGAATTCGCGGCCTTCCTTCCCTTTTCCGACAATGATATTGTCCTTTTCAGCCCCGACTTGCAGGATCCCATCGATCCAAACCTTCCGTGGTGTCGCACCGAGTTGAAGGGGGTGAGAGTCCCAGAGGACAACGTCAGCATCGGCGCCCTCTTGTAGAACGCCAATACGATGTGACATGCCTGCCGCTGATGCAGGCACCGCTGTAACAGACAGCAACGCAAGGTGGGGAGGGAGCCCTAGGTCACGTGATATCAACATAGTGGATGACTGCTGAGGGAAGAAGGCCCACGCACCCCAGTAATGCGCCTGCTGCGCTTCGTACATCAAGTAGCGGCTGTTCAATATAGGATGGTCAGACTGGTTCGTCGAGTAAGCATAACATAACGGTAAGGTGCTGCGACTGGTTCACCTTCATCACGACCGGTATGCCACTATCTGCAAGCACGCGAGGAGCGAATGCGGAGCCACGGAAGGATTCGCGTTTGTAGCGGTGAACGGCGGCAAAGACACCAACAGTGGGTGTTCCGCCCCAACTACCTCGTTGATGAGCAGAGGTCGCACATAAGGGACTAGGTTCTCACGTTCGCTTCAGCAAGTTAGGCACAAGCCAAGCTTCAGACGCATGATGGAAGGATGCGATGGGGAATTCGAACTCGTTAGTCAGCTAACAAGTCGTACATCCTCATTATCATCACTAAGGCAGCAGAAGCAGCAGGAGACGCACCCTGACCATACTATCGAGATCAACCTCTTCGTAACAATGTGTAGACACCTGAACGCTGTGTCAGCTGTGTGCGTTTCCTCACAAGTACCGCCTACCTTGACTCGGCCTCGCAAAACGTCGACCATAACCTCCCACTGTGAACTCTCCGGATATACTTGTCCCTTGAGCTCATCCCATAGCCCTGCCTCGGCTTTGGCACAGTAGGCATCCTGAGCCTCTTTGATCTTCCGTGCTTCGTTATATGCCCAACGATAAGACCACATAGAATCCATGCGATTCCCGTACGCAAGCAGACTTTCTCCGCATGCTTGCCTGCCAAGCACATACGGTCAGACTCACGCCGAGCGGAGGGTATATACCGGATCGTACTTTAAGTGACGCCAGCGCATCGGGTGTTCATAACTGGCGCTCCCGTTGAGAGTATGTGGAGGTTCGAGAACCATGGATAAAGGGGTGTGATCGGATGTCTTGCGTAATTTGAACATGAATGCCTGCCCGGCTACGGTGCAAAAGAGTCCGAGTTGACTTCAGTGTCGACATAAAGCAGTGGGACATACCGATAGCATTTGCGCTGCCAGGAAGGACCTGAACAGAAGTCACACCACCAGCGATAGCGAGTTGAAATGCGTCATCATGAGTGTTGAATCCGTCGATACTCCTCAGCCATGGTACAATGGGACCATGCCCAGAGTTTACATCTAAAGCGCCATGTAGTTCAGGCACGCTTGAGACCCCCAAATGAGAATGAAGATCCACTACGGCGGCGATTCTCTCATGAATATGAATGACGAACAAGTTATAGGATGACGCGCGTACCAAGACCAGGCGTGACCCAACCTCCCTTTGCGTCGACGACTATCACGTCCCGTTCACTAGTATACTGATAATCCGGTATATAGCCAATGCCTTTCACCACACCCTTGTCGAGGTAGACGTCACCATATACGATCTCGGTGCCGTTCCGCGCACCCGTCCAAATTCTCGCATTCTTGATGAGAGTTGACTTCGTCCCTGGTTCGAACCTGTCGGATGCATCCCGGGCAAAGAAATCTGTAGGAGGCCTGGGTGTCTCGCGCAACGCAGTACATTGTGATAGGATGGTTTCGGCGTTGAGTGGGACGTGGTGGATACGCTGAGACGGAGCGGAAGCTTGGAGGAAAGTGTTGTACGTGAGGACTGTCGCGGTCGCCACAGCAGTGCATAGCGCCAAGAGGAGGGTCCTCGACAGCGAAGAACGGCGTCGGGCGTCGAGTACACTTGAGGCATCCATGTCCTGGAAACCTATCTTGTTGCCCATGGTGTACCCAGGACGTGGGAGGTAGCAGAGAAGTTGAGCAGAGCCCTTGAATGCAAGCGGACACGCCGGCGGCAACTCAGCGCAAGGATGGACGTACCGACTCGGCGAGGCTGCTCATATCCCGGCGTTTCTGCCCGCGTGCCTTCCACGCCGGCATAGGAGTCGGTGTTCTTCACCTTCAGAAGGGATCACACCGAAAGGCACTTGGTGAAATTTGCGTTCGTGAGCCCGGGAAGACTGCCCGATTATGTAGTACAATAGATGAGGCTTGTCCTCTAAACCACTCCTACTCCTAGTAGGGCTGCACCGCTCTTTATCGCTCTGCCGCGTGCAGCATACAAACTGATGGCGACGCAGCTGAGCAGAAATCCGGTGAACCTGCGGTCATCCAGCGCGTCAACAATCCGCTCGGGCTGCAATCTATAAGCAAGGACGCGTACCTGAAAAACGCAACTCGAGATAGCGATCGTTCCTCCAGAGTGGTACGGGAGGACGCGAAGATTGAACGGAGCGCTGCTGGTGTGACTGGGATACGACTAGACTGCTTTCCGGGCGGAGGCGGCTGCTGGCCTGGGTGGTCATTGAGGTTGACATTGGAAGGCGTCGCAGTCACAGAGGAAGAAGATGAAAGGTTGCTCATAGCTCCAGGCAGTCTGCTCAGAGTCCGACCTGCAGTACTCGACTATGATGGTGATCACTGCGACCAAAGACAAAAGCGCCGCATCTGTCGAACGACTTTTGCTGGTAGATCTCGCGCGCGGAAACACCTTCCTGAAAGCTTATACAGCCTATGCTACGACATGAATTCAAATGTAATGGGTATGGTGATGGATATGCATAGCAGTCTAACAAAGCATGCGCATGGTTGCAAATGATACATGGAATCTGAAGTCATGATAAGATACACAATGGTCATGAGCAGTGCGGTACGGAGAGTGCGTAGCCTTGTCCGTGCTGACTGGATGCGAAGTGAGAGGATGATGTATCATGCGAATAAGAACTTATAATTACGGACGGAGTAAGGGGCATTAAAGAAGTAAGTCGTATAAAGTGCATGCAGAGTCGTGGATTATGTAACACGCTCCTTCATGTCCATAGGCGTGAAGGAGTTGGAACGCTGGAAGAACCAGACGTTGCGCAAGGATCTGCGGGGTATTGCGCTCGATCCATC